GATGTACACAGTGCAGTAACACAATGTAAACTAAACATTCCCCAATCCCTTATGTAAACCATGACCAAAAACGTCCACGCTGCACAGTGTGCTCATGGATATGTGGACCGTGAAATTGATTTGGTTAACTGACTTCTCTGATGTTTGAATGATTCTTTCTTAATTTTTCCAGGATGGGTTGTCATAAAATACAATACTCTTGAACATAATCCAACCTTTAATTAGTTAGTTTAATTAGATTAGTTCAACCAAAAAGGTAATTTATTCATCTCTCATGTCATTCCAAACCTACATGCCTTACTTTCTTTAGTAGAACAAAAAAAGGAAATTTAAATAATGTGTTTCCAAGCAATTGTAATTAACTTTTAAAATACTTCTTTATAAAACATTTTTGCATCTTTTTTGAAGCTTCAAAACTCTAGCAGTTGCATGGAAAAGGGCTGTATTTGATGACTAATTTTTCCTTTTGTGTTCCACGGAAAAAAGTTTTGGTTGGAATGACATGAGAATGAAAAATTAATGGCAGAATTTTCAGTTTTGGGTGAACCGTTACTTTTTCTAAATAATTCAGCCCAACTTGGCAAAAGGTTTTGATGTAAACAGTAGTTGTTTTAGTAGAAAATCTCTCGATTTTATTCTAAAGAGCACGAGAAACACTCAAGAGTACAGAAGCAGCACAGAAGCATCACTGATATCAGGTGTTCATGAACATCTCTTTGCCTGCTCCTGTCCTTCTCCTTAACACAACTTTTTGAAGCAGATGACAAGCTCTCAGTGTACTTTTTTGTCGGTATCTCTCTCTTCAACAGACGAGAACTTTACTCTCAAACATGATAGAGCCTTCCTCTTGTCGATGGCCAACCGTGGCAAAGACACGAATGGGTCCCAGTTCTTCATGTAAGTACTATTTACACTGGTATAAGACACAGAGAGGGTGTATGAGTGCATAGAAATAACCATTCATTCTGCTTACCATTTAATCTGACTGACTGGTCATTATTAAATGACACGTGCAATACGTATAGATTATGTATTCCCCCAGTGTTCAGATCATTTCTACAGAACTATTTTGCTTCAGTCATAGCCTTTATAATGATGTGCATTTGAAAACCTGTATCTGTTTTAAGAGATTGGCCAAAAGCACAAAGAGCATCTAGGCTTTTAAATTTGATCCAAGTGTTATACTTGCTTATATACTGACTCATACTTATGTCAATCCCAATTCGTTGACACATCAATAACATTTTTAAAGACCACTAGTGATTTTCAGTAGAAAAGCAAGATGGTAAAGAAGGAACATTTTATGTTCTGTCTACTTTTTTTTTTAATTGATTTAGTAATACAATCATCTTAGTTTACTCCTTTGCCGTTCACACTCTCTCTAACCTTCCCAGACTTCCTCAATCTCTTTACCACATATATATTTATTTTGGAAACTCTACATAGTCTACATGTTCGTGTGGGATGCAGGTGCATTTTCATTCTCCTTTTCCCTTGTCAATGTGCATTTAGAAATATTTTATAATCAGAAAGAATTCATTTTTGCCTACAAATGTATTACAATTTTTCTCTTGCCGTTTTTGTGTAAAATTTGCAGAAACTCTAGCATCCTGCTCTACCAAGGTAAAGTGTCTCTCCAAGGCTGTGCTTCTCTCTCCTGACTGTGTATTTCTGGTTGCTTTTAGCTAGCACTGGCTTCTTATTTATCTTTAAATAATTTTCACCTCATAAAAAAATCTGTTCTCCCAGCACAGAGAACCTTGAAGTCTTTCAATTATTGACGTATTTCAAGTTTAAAATTACAGGATGTATTTTCTTGCAATGGACACACTGATTTCTAATGTCCCTATAATATTTTTAAATGGGTTTAATTGGTTTTGTCAGCATAATGCTGACAGATGTTGGACCTGTTCCTGTTCATCATTAGAATTTATTCATCCAGCCAGTGTTATTGTGCAAGCACTGCTGGTTTTAAATTCCTCAGTGTTTGAATTGATGCATACAAATTTCTTCTTGATGACAGACTGAATGCTTTTTTTAGACTAAATTTATTTCCCTTTATCTTTATCCCCCCACATGTCCCTGTTGGATGACCTGGACTCCATTATGTCATTTACCTGACAATAGAACTACTAAGACAGCGCCTCATCTAGATGGGTACGTTCACAATGATCCAATGGTTTTGTGTAACAATTTATATATGTTGCAAATCTGTTCAAACCATACCATAGGAGCAAATCATTTGAAGAAAACAAAAAGTGTATTTATTTATTATAGGATCATTTGGATGCAAGCTGTATCCTTAAATCCCACAATTTCTTGTAACTGTAAGGATTTTTGATCTAATTTAGAGTGCATGTGGTCTTTGGGCTGGTCATCTCTGGCTTTGAGGTCATAAAGAAAATCGAAGGGCTGAAGACCGACTCAGCCAGCAGACCCTATGCTGACGTCAGAGTGATTGACTGCGGACAGCTGATTACAAAGTCTGCTAACGATGGTAAGCTTGTTCCTGAGTGCGAGAGATAAACTAGGAATTTTGGCTGCACACTTTCCGCCTGTCACTATGCTGTTTGTCTTTACCTAATGGAAAATATTTTTTAATCTACATTGTGGAGTGAAATATGGTTTAAAAATGGAACTGTGAAAGATCATAAAACAAAATGACGGGTGCTTTGAAACACTGCAGACACCAAATTTAATACACACACTTACACGGTGTCCTAACCAGGCATGATGCTACGAAGCATCAAGTAACAATCGAGAGTTTTTTCCCTAACCACCCACAGCAAGTGATGTGCAACAAGACATTTTGCCTGTCACTTGATTTGTATTTTTATCATGTCATTCTGGGCAGTGCTGCCCACAGTGAAATCAAGCTGGTTCAAAATCCTGATTCTTATAGATGTATCTCAAATATAATATTTTACAATGTATTTTTCATTTTTTACTTGCAATATGATTGGTTTGGACATAGTATGTGCATCACAGTTTGCATTCTTGTGCACTATTCTCTGCCAGTTTTTTGTTTAAATAATGTGATTAGTGTGTTTCACTCTGAAAATTGCAAAAAGTGCACTTCAAATGCCTGGATGATGCACTTAATTAACCAAAAAAAAAAAAAAA